TCCCAGCTCTAGTACCACGCCTACAAATGGATGAATGGCTCTTACTCTGAGGCTCCAGCTTGTCGATGATGGGTGAAGCAGTGGTGAGAGCCACTGAGGTGATGGTGCGGACTCCTTGCTCCGCGGCCTCACATACAGTCTTGATGTACGGGTGGTTGTCCTTTGTGCTGGAGTACACACTGAACACCAAGCCATAGGTGGAGCTGACCAGAGGAAGGCTGGCGACCCTCTCCACCACACTCTGTAAAGCCAACAGAAAGAAAACAGTTAACGTATAAGTCTCCGAACTCGTTTAAACATTACGGAGTGCTATTTTGTGACGGGCTATCGGCGTAAACCCATGGTTTTAAAATTGTAAACCACATAAGACATTTGAAAGCATAGTTTCACGAAATGTACTTAAAACTACAGTACCTGAGGCCAAAAATTAACTCACCTGAGTTGGAATAACTTCAGCGGTTGCCATTTCTGTCCAGATAAACCTGCAGACAAAGAAAATGCGATTTAGTTCAAGAAAACAACAAACCCGTAGAATCACGACATTTTACAGCAGATAAACTGGAGGTTGTTACTTCCGTATTAGGTTCTTTAAAGTTTCTCATAGTTAGCTACATAATAATAAACGCTCAAGTGAACCTTCTACCGATAGAAAGGCAATGTAACTGTATTAAACAGCAGTTAAAACACATAATGAAACAGATACCAGTGGACACTTACCGAGTAACTTAACTATTTCCAAACGGTCAATGAACTGACTGATACTGCGCGAGCAGGCTGTGGCGGTTTTTATGCGCAGCAGCTATCGCGAGATCTAGCCAAGCGCTGTGACGTAGCGTCGCTACTGCTTGTAGGGTAAAGGTAAAAGGGGTAAAGGTTTGGTCGGGGAATTCCTCTGAAATCAGCTGTCACATGAACAGGCGGTGACACAGTTCAGCCCATGGTTTCATCTCCTTTCAGCAGCCATTCAAGTTCAGTGACGACACTTTTTAAAATGTACATATTTTTTAATACAACAGCAGAAACAGTGGCTCCAAAGTGTGAGTAGTCTACCCTTAATATGGCTGCACTTCTTTACCATGGGTCCTAGGAAAAGGAAATACATGAAAGCCTCTTGACCTTTTCCCCTACAGTCTCCAAGTACAATACACAAATGACAACGTACTGCCTTTTAAATTATATTTTGTATAAATCATCATAACAGTCAGTGGTCCAGAAGGCTGTTGTTCCTGGTAGTTTGTGGTGATTTAAAAAAAATCCAAACTGTTTGTTTTGGTCATGTGAATCCTTTAAATATAATACCAACTGCAACATTACAGGTAAAACTGTCATTTTAAAAATAGTATTTGGCCCTTCTACGATTCCCTATTATATTACATGATATTTTGCTTTAGCGGTTACGCTTCCCAGCAAACGTCTATTTAATTAATCATTTCCAATTATCACAAAGCCAACCTGATGAAAAATATTGTAGCTGTTGGCTTTTGGAGACCCTTTGGGGTCTGAGTGCAGTAAATCAGTCTTGCGCAGGCTCAGACTTGGCACGTTTTTCGGGATCTATGTGAGCCGGCTTGATTAGCTCAAACCCACATCATCTACATGGGACCTGCAACAGTTCGCCAATGCACTGAGATTAAAGGAAAATAATTGGCAATACAGGATGAAATATGGCCAAATGAGTCCATACACACACACCTAAGTATCATTATGTTTCATGCAGTAAATAAATGTTTGTATTTTGTTGTTGAAAGCAAAACATTATCTTATCATTCAGTGTGGGGACAGTAACTACTGGCAGAAGCCTGAAGGGACAAACAGGATTTCAGTTTGTGGAGTTAGAGTGTATATACAAACCACACAATGCACGTTTGAGTTATGTATTAAAAAAACTGAGGCCATTTTCACAGCAGACTGGTTTTTGTCACCACATGGGAAAAACTAGTGTTCCTAATGTTCATCAGCTGTTTGTTAGTGTGATGCTACATAAACCCCCCAAATTGTAAGTCATTTCACAGTTTCACAGTCTTTATTACCCAGTGATTGTTAAAATGAAGATTGAGTTGAAGTTAAAAAAAAAAAAAAAAAAGTCACTCCAGGGCCTTTTTAATTCACCGTCAAAGTATTTTCTCACAATGCAGGGAGGCCAGCTGTGTATTTGCTCTCATGCAACGTCTAAGAAAGATTAGGGGATTTCTTAAAAATGACTGCAAGACATTTGACCCACACGTAACCTCTCTTAATTGATTTCTGACTGTTGTAAAGGCTTGAACAGCGCCGTACGTCAGTGGTCCACCAGCAGATAAACAGGCCTGCGTTTGCCAGTCGCTCATCGGAGCCAGATGTGTGGCTCTGGTTCGGATTTGCTTGCCAGTGTCAATGCTTATTTCTATTTTGGTACGTGTTATTAGAATGTGAATTGAGTGTTAATGCAGTTTTGTTGGATGCAACACATTTGGAGGCCAGATGAGGAAACATGGGCTTAGCTCAGATTCCTCAGCTGGTTAATACACTGGGACCCTGGATTCAGCAGATGGACCCATAGGGCCTATTTATCAGCCTTCATGCATTTTAAATGGACCCATATGATCAAATAAATGTTGGCTACAGGAAACAGCAAGATTCTGCATAAAGGACAATAAGATCAAAGCTTTACAGAATAACTATATAAGAAAAACTGAATAACTGACAATCTATTGAAAATGTGTCACA